TGGAGACCCTGCTGGACCTGTCCACGCTCTGCTCCCCACGGGACATGGGGAGGAGTCCCTCCTCCTGTTTTCCTTCCCCCAGTCCAGTCCCCTGGGCTCCTGGTCACAGCCCCTGGACCTCTCCTGCCCCTCATCCTGCCTGGGAGATGAACACTTGGGGACAGGAGCTGCCCTGGCTGCTGGGGGTCCTCTTTAAGGACAAGAGTGCCCCACCCCCATGGGAGTCTGTGGGGGAGGACAGCCCAGGAAGCTGCAGAGTGTCCCACAGAGACAAAGAGTAGGTGCTCAGTACATGTCCGAGACCCTCACAAGGGAGGTGGGGTAGCCAGGCCTCCGTGAGGGGGGGCTGGTTTTGCCGAAGACCCTCTATCTGTGACCTCAGGGACCCCTCCCGCCCAAGAAGTATCTGTCCCCCTCTGGACTGTTGCCTGCACCACCCTTCACTTCAGAAGTCAGCAGTTTGAATCCCAGCACCCAGTCCCACTCATCACTGCCCAACGGGTGCCTTTGAACGGGGGTCTTGAATCCCACCAGACCCCAGCGGCCACGTTTGTAAGATGGGGCTAAAGTGCCCTGAGTGCCCCCTCGGGCTCCTGCCAGGCCGCGGGGCTGGGCTCGGATGGAGAGCTGGGGGCCGAGTGCCTGGACTGGGTTATCACCACTCCTGCTAATTGTCGTTATTACAAAAATTAGGAACGTGCCCGCTGACCTTTGGGGTAACTGAGCCTCTCTCAAGGGCAGGAGAGCCTTCCTGACAGGCACCCCCACGCCCCGCAGAGCCAGGGCCACCTGCTTGGGGGCGGTCAGGTGAAGACTGGCCAGCAGGCCAGCCTGTGGGCACCACGGAGCCCCCGATGGTCACGGCGCTTCCCTGTTCTGCACGCCACTTCGTTCTGCCCGTGATGGGGAACGCTGTCTCCAACAAAGCGCTTGGCCGCCTTCCCAGGTTCCACATCTGCTGCCTCATCCCCAGCCCTCCCGGCTTGTCAAGACAGAAGCTGGCAGGGAGGGGTTTGCAAACATGAATCGTGCAATTTATTCATATGTTCCCTGGCCCCGACTTTGTAAAAACATCTGCGGGTGACTCTTCCTCGAGAGAAGGGAGGCTGCTGGGCTTCTCTCGAGCACTGCCGGGAAAGAGGCGAAACCGAGTGCTGGAAAGCGACCGTGTAATCAAGACAGGCACATTTCTCGGGGTGTGTGGTTACCAACTAATTAGCAAGTCTAAAGACCGTGACCGCGGAACAAGTGACGGAGGGCCCGGGCGAGGTGGCCCAGATGCTGCTGCGTTCCTTCACAGGGTCCCCAGGCCTGGAGGGCAGGGGCCGTGTGGGGTGGGGGGCAGGCCACCAGGAGCCCACAGACTGGCGGAGAGTTCACAGCAGGAGCTGTGCTGGCCATCACTGCATCTCCATCCAGGCCTCAGTTTCCCACCCCATCCCCGGAGGTGCTTGTGACAAAACTCGAAGACCGTCCGGATGCCAGCCCCCACTCCCCTCCCACCACGCAGCCAGATCCGAGCAACTTTGTCATGCCTTCCACCCTCCCGTGCGCCCAAGGCAAACCCGGCTGGCAATGAGGGCCTTCCTACCCCCTCTCCCCTCCAGTGCTCGCCTTCCTGTCCTGGTGTCACAGCCACACGGACCACCGCCAGCTCCCTGCTTTCCACCACCCATGAGGTCCCACTGCTGGGCCTCAGCTCATGCCATTCCCTCCACCTGGGGACCTTTCCTCAACCCTGTCACTTGTCAAAACACAAGCCTATCTTGCAGGGGCCAGTCTGGGCGAGACACAGGCTGACCCATCTCTCCACCGGCCCTGAGGCCGGGCGGCCCGGCACGTTCACCCACAGAGCAGCAACTCCAGGCCCAGAAACGCAATTGCCAGCCCTGGGCCTTCTCCCGGGGCCCCCGAGGGGCCGAGCTGAGACCTCTGGTACAGCTGCCAGCTGGGTGCGTCTCCCCCCAGCACCGCCGCAGGGAACAAGCTCCCCGTCACTGGAGGAAGCTGGGATTTCGTAAAGGGAGGGTAGGGTTGTGGAGAAGAACACAGACAGATACAGACAGACTTTGGGACTTGGGCAAGCAGCTTGCCCCTCTCTGAGCCTCAGAGTCCTGACCTGCAAGGTGGAAATACTATTAGGACCAGCCTCCCACATCTGCTGTACCCGAAGTAAGAGCTCGGGGTGCTGGCGGCCAGTAGCGCCCGGAGGAGGAGGAGGTACAGGAGGGCGCGCCTGACCCAGTGCCCCCAGAAGGGCACCGCCCTGAGCCGGACAGGGAGCCCAGGGCCGGGCCGGCCGGGGACCCCCTCCCACCAGCAGAGCTGCGGGAGTGCCCAGGCTGCCCAGGCAGGCCTGAGAGCCTTTGGAAGGCTTCCCAGTGGAGGTGACCTTGGAGATGGGCCTCAAAGGGTACAAATGAGTTTGCCAAATGCAGGGGAGGGGGAGGCCTTCCCGGCAGCGGGACAAGCTTGAGCCAGGGAAGGCCAGGGCGCCGACGTGCCCAGCTATTTTGGGAGCCTTGTCAGTCGGAGACCCGGCCGAGTGAGGGGAGCAGCTGTCCCTGAGACTGAAGGTCGGAGGGGCTGCCCGGCCAGGGTCCCAAATGCCAGGTTGCTGGGCCATGCCGAAGGGGAGCCTCAGACAGGCTCTGGGAAGGGGAAGGACAGGTCAGAGCTTTAAAAAGCTCCAGCCATCACTCGGCGGCGGTAGGGGAGGAAAGGGAGTAGGGACAGCGGGGACAGCGGTGAGGCCACCACTAGGCCTGGCTGGGCAGTGAGGAGGGGAGGAGTGGGCCTGGGGCCTGGGGACCCGGAGACAGATGCCCCGAATTAGGAGCTGGAGTTCATTTCTGCACCTTGGCCCCCGCTCTCACTCCCCTGCAGGGCAGGGCCCCCTCCTCAAAGGCCTTACCTTCCCCAGCCCTGCTTTCCATCTCATAAAGGGGGGAAATACAGCTGGAGAAGGCCTGCATCTGACTGACGTTCAGGAATGGCTGGGGGTGGGGGCGAGAGCCTGGAAGTTTCCAGAAGGCTTGGCTCCCCTCCCTGCACAGTCTAGCTGGCCACTGCCCCAGCCCCAGGCGTCTTCTTGAGGGTCAGGGCAGCCGCCCTGCCCTGGCCACCACCCGACTCTTGGTGAGCCCGCGGCGCCCCCTGTCGGCACCAACTGGAGGAGAAGGGGGGCTGGGGGCGAGGGGGGCCACTCCCTCCTCCCTGACTGTCGCCCTGTGTCTCTGGCTGTTATGTATATATTTCTTAAAAGGATGGTACGTGTGGCAAAAAGATAAGAGGGGAGCCATTATTAATGAAAACAGGTGAGGGGAAGATATTCATTATCGTTTTCAGCCTAATGAAGCCTGTTGAAGGCTCTCTCCGGAGTGATAAATCCCTCCCGGGCCCGAGTTCTCCCAGCCATGGAGACACAGGTATGTCGTAACTCATGTCACAGGAGTCACACCGCTTCTCTCGAGTTTCCTCAGTACGGCCGGCTCAGGAGGGCTGAGCACGCTGCTGATAACAAATTTTGGAAACACAGTATTTCACACCTCATTGCGTGAGCATTAAGATGACAATGCATTGGATTATTTTCTCCTAGTCACCCATCCCTGTTGGCCTCGGAGGTGGTAGAGACAGTGAGGAGGGGAGGCGGGGGGGTGCCTGGGGAGAGACGACTCCAACGGGCCCCTGTGGATGCTGGGGGTGGGATCAGAGGGCGACAGGCCCAGCCAGTGGGGACACAGAGGCCCAGGGCAGGGACAGTGACAGCAGAGGTCTTTGTCTCCCCAGTTGTGTGCGTGCAGCAGGAAGGCGCCCCAGGGCTCCGTGGAGCTGGTCTCCCCCTACCAGTCCCCGTGGAGGCCCAGGCCTTCCATTGACTGCTCCTAACGCCCGCTCCCAGCAAGCTCAGCCAGGTGGCGAGATGCTCTCACCCCTGCTGGGAGTGCGCACAGACAGCTGCGTTAGACAGAATCCAGACTGCAGGGTCTGGTCAATAAAACTTCCCATCAGGCCACGCAAAACCCAGCCAAACGGCTCCCTTGGCATCACAACAGCCCAAGGTCTGGCCACCCGAGCTGGAGGGGTGCACAGGAGGGGCGCCCAGGCCAGTCCCAGACGCACCTGGGTGGGTGGGAAAATGTGTAGGGGAGAAGCCAGGAGCCACCCCATCGTGTGGGACGGGGAGGCCGGGGGTCAAGGAGAGGGAGGAACCCACTGCCCGGCCTGAGATCTGCCTGCCCCTAAATGAGCAGGAGTTCACCCCCTTTGTCCGGTACCCGCCTCCAGTGACACGCGTCCATTTTTTACCTTCTCTGCACAAAAGTGAGCATCTTTACTAGACTCACAGATATAGAAAACAAACTGGCTACCAGGGGGGATGGAGGGCAGGGGTAGATTAGGAGATTAGGATTAACAGACACGCCCTACTGTATATAAAATAGATAAACCACAAGGACCTACTGCAGAGCACAGGGAACTATATTCAATTTCTTGTAATGAGCTGTAATGGAAAAGAATCTGGAGATATAGATAAATATATATATATCTGAATCACTTTGCTGTTCACCTGAAACTAACATTGTAAATTGACTACAATGAAAAATAAGAATTTTTTAAAGGTAAGCATATTTCCAGCATATTTTTGTTCCCTGCATGCAAGGATTTGGGGTGCACAGGGGCCATTTTATGTCCCTGAAGGGCCACCTTGAACAGAAGAAGGAGAGAGCCATTTCCAAGCCCTCCCAGCTGCCACCGGGGAGGGCAGACAATCCACGTTCTGAGAAGGAGTCGGCAGGAGGGGTACGAGGCAGGGCAGGGACAGCCTCCCAGCCTAGGGCAGGTGGAGCCACCCAGAGGCCTTGGCCAGTAACTGACACCCGATCCACCTCAGGGAGGCTCTGGACCAGGTGACCAGGTGAGGGCGGGGAAGCACTCCTGGCTCCCACAGCCTCCGCCCTGTCCTGTGCTGTGCCCAGTATGTCCTCGGCTCTGGCTCTCACGGGCAGCCCCAGTGATGGCCGTGCCTCTGGTTCTACTGGCCGCACCTCCGGACGGAAGCTCTCTGAGGGCGGAAAGGATGAATCCAGGCACCTCCTGGCTCCCCGGGTACCTGCAACAGACAGGACAAGACGCCTTTGGGTGTGAGGATCAAGACGCCTTTTAACGGGCTTTAAAGACAAGGAAGGATTTTTTAAATGAAATAACTTGGAGGTGCCTTTCTTTCTGAAGTTAATACACACTGCTTAAAAAAAACTTTAGAAAAGGCATAAAATCAAGAAGAAAAAAAATGCATGGTTTCTCTACAGAGAAAACAGACACAAGCATTTCCTTCCAGTCTTTTTTCTGTTCATTTTCTCTGGTTTGTTTTGCATGCCAGGGATCTGACTTCATCTGCAATCTTGCTTCTCGTCGGTGCCCACACAGAAATATTTCCCTCTGTTTATATAAATTCAACAGAGAAAAGGTATCCATGGCTACATAATAGTTCATTGTGTGGTGTGCAGCACAGTTGGCTGGTAATTTTTTATTTGAGACATTTAGGATTGAAAATTTTGCTGCTGATTAGTGGAAGCTGTTCCGTCAGGGTGTCATCGCATGTAATGGCATTTTCACACTGCAGATAATTCCTCTCAAAAGTAGAATCTCTGTATCCAAGATGATAGAAGTCTTTCAGAGGAAAATAATAGGGCTTTTTTGAGGTTGATACAACACGTATTTATTTTTAGGAAACGTAGAAGATAGAGACAAGGATAAAGAGAAAAACACAAGACGCCAATAACCTTGTGAATATTTATGTATTTATGACTCAGATGTGAGTCTGTGTGTGTGTGTACGTGCATGCACACACTTACAGAGAAAGGAGACATTCTTGAGCTTTGTCAGCCAGCATTTCACACGTGCTGTCCCACAGCTTTGCTGGATCTGGAAAACTGGGCTTCCTGGGTGCCCATAGACGTGCTGCCGCTGCCCGGGGTGCTGGAGGTGAGCCCGGCCTCGAGTGGCCATCACCTCCATGGGCCTGCAAGGTGAGCACCCACCTCCATGCTCCCGAGGCCCAGGCCAGGAACCTTGGAGGCAGCCTGACCGCTCTCCTCTCATGCCCCACATCCAGGCCACCAGCAGTTCTTGCTGGTTTTATGTCCAGAATTAGTCCAAAATCCAGCAACTTCTTCCCTCTTCTGTGCCACTACCCATCTGAGCCTACAGCATCTGGTGCCTGCATCTTGGCAACAGCCTCCTAGCCTCTGCCTGCAGGGCAAGCCTATGAAAGGCATAGCCCTTCAGGCCTCACGAGCAGACACACCCGGACGTTAACCAAGGCCCTGTGGGATCTGGCTCTTCCCTCACCTGTCCCCAACCCCCCACCTATCACCTGACAGCCATTCTCTACTCCCTCTCCCACCTCCCGCCTCCAGCCACACTGGCCAACTGCCACTATTGCTCAGACACCAGCATAAGCCCCTACCCCCGGGCCTTTGCACTAGGCTCTTCCCTCTGCTGAGCATCCTTTGCCAAGATTGCTGTATGGCTCACTCCCTCACTTTTTCCAGATCTTGGTCAGATTCACTTGTCAGTGATCTGTCACTTTATTTTTCTTCAAGCACTTCTAGTTTATCAAATGATTTGTTCATTTATTTAGCACTTGATAGCCAACAAACCCTCTTAGCTCATGAGATGCCCACCACTATCCCATCAGCAGACAGGGCAGGGGTTTGCTCCCACCTCTAGGGAAGGAGGAAGGGACCTACCAGGTGCCAGGTCCATGCCCCTCTTGGCCCCATTTTACGTCAGAGGAAAGAGATTCACAGCAGTCCTTCCAGTGTCTGCTCTCCCAGGACCCGGGGGGTTTCGAAAGGCCAGGGTAGCCACACCCCCATCAGCACTGCAAACAATATTCCAAAGCTTCCACCTCCCTCCCCTAGGGTACATGCCAGAGCCCGTGTGGAAATCCGAGCACCAGGACTGGTAAGAAGCTGGCCTGCACCTCACGTGCCCAGGGCCCCAGCCCAGCCCCTCTAAACAGACTCGGCCCGCCACGTGGGTTCATAGCGTGGTGAGGAACACCCTGCCATGGGCACTGGGCCCCCGAAATCCGCTCGGACCAACCGCTTCCATCACATCGGCCGGCCTCTGCATCGCGAGTCCAGTTCGGGGTGTTCAGACACTCGGCCGAGGTCAGTGCCCACGTGGGCCGAATCTGCTCCGTGGGAGCCGGTCGGACCACCTGACCCCGCCCCCTGGTGGAGCCGGGATCCTCCTTCTTCTGAAGACCTGCTGGCAACCCCACATCGGCGCCTCCCCAGCGCCACCTCCACCCAGCGCTCAGCCACGAAGTCACGGGTGCCAGGGCTCACCTGCATTGTCACCTTTCATCTCCTAACCACCCTACCTTACGGCGGGTCCCCGCGTGTCTAAGGATGTGAAGGCTCAGAGAGGTTCAGAGCCTTGCTCCAGGGCACCCAGGCCAGCTGTGGCACAGCCGGGACTGAAAACCCACAGCCGCAGGGCAGAGGTGGCCCGTCAGCGGCCCCTCCCTTCAGAGTCACTTGCACTGGCAGGCAACATGGGGAGGGGGACAGCGAGCCTCACCAAACACCTGCCTGAGGGGCCACCTCTCCCAGGATGTTCCGGAGCTGCTGCCCACCCCTCCCCAGCCTCCACCTGCCCCCGACCCCGGGCTTTTCGCTCAGCCGTGACACCGTAAAAACTGACCTAGAAATAAGCAGACAGGGCACTGAGCCCAGGCACAGAGCTGGTGAAGGCAGGGGCTGGGCTGGAGTAGCTCTGAGGGTCCTGCTGACTCGGCCTCGTGCCCTCCGGGCCCAGACTGCTCCTCTGTAAACTGGGCAGTCCACTGCTTTTGTCACCCCAGGTTCTGAGAAAGTTGTTGGACAGAGCCAGCCCCACCCTTGTGGGCGACTCGCGACTGTCAGAGATGAGATCCCTTGTGCCAGGCCACTGAAGTCCCTCCAGGGTCAACGTGGACCCAAACGGACAGACAGACGGCTTGTATCAGTCCCTCCCAGACACTGGGGAAGAGGGTTGCAGAGGGACAGCCTGAGCCTGCGGCCGCGTTCCAGGCAGACAGCACGGGCTCTGAAGGCGCCCATCTGGTTCCGACAACAGCCCTGCCTGCTTGGGGTCCTGGCAGGCGCTGGGGGCCGTGCTGATCTTGGAGGGCTTGCAGGCCCTCACAGGCTTCCGAGCGAGCTATTCCAGGGTAGCTTTATGGAAATTATTTTATGGTCCATGGAGGTGTTGGGCGACTCCCATCCTGCCAATAGTTCCAGGCTAAAAATACTGTGGTCACGCTCTGCGGTGGAGAACTTTGGGGCCCAGTGTAAGGATACAAGTCTCAAGCCACAAACTCAGGCACTCAAGAAGTATAACTTTGTCTTGTTACAACTTAACTCTTCTGAGGACCCATCCTGTGGGCGGCAAAACCAGCCTTCAGCTCGGGGTCTGCCCCCCTCCACTGCCCCACACCCCATTCCCAAGGTTGGGAACTTGGGGGGCTGATGTAGTGAGCAGCTGTCAAGGAGTATAGTCTTAAAGACCCACTGTACACCTACCCCCCAGCTCTCCTTCCACTTCTGCACGTGAACCTCAAAAGTCTAGTTTGAAATTCAAAAGTCAAGAGTGAACTTTAAAATATTATCAAAAATTTAAACATACAATTACCAAGTAATCTAATCATTTCACTTCTGGGTATGGTATCAAAGGAACTGAAAACAGGGAATTGAATAAATGTTTATCCACCTGTTCATGGCAGAATTATTCACAATAGCCAGAAAATAGAAGCGCCCAGTGGCCTTTTATGGACAAATGGATAAACAAGATGTGGTCTATCCATACAATGGAACATTATTCGGCCTTAAAAAGGGATGAAATTCGGACACATGCTACAACCTTGAGGACACTGTAACTATAACTGAAAGAAACCAGCTACAAAAAAAACAAATATCAGATGATTCTACTTCAGGGAGGTGCCCAGAATAGTCAAATTCATGGAGACAGAAAGTAGCATGGTGGTTCCAGGGGTTAGGAGGGAGCGGGGGTTGTTTAAGTGGGGACAAAGCTTCGTTTGGGATGATGACAAAATTCTGGGGATGGGTAACAGCGATGTCTGTACAGCAGGTGAAAGTACTTAATGCCACTGAATAGCACACTTTAAAACGGTTTAGTTGGTAAAGTTCACATTACGTACATTTCACTACCATAAAAAAAATCACACACGCACACAAAAAATTAACTCCCTTCTTCCCTCTTTTTTCCTGCATCTCCCAGTGTCTGAGCTGTGAACGCAAAAGGCCCTGGGATAGCGGTGCTCCACTGGGCGGTGTTGTCCCCCTCCAGGGGACATTTGGCAAAGCCAGGAGGCATTTTTCGCTTGTCATAACTGGGAGTGAGGAAGGGTACTCCTGGCTTCCAATGGTAGAAGCAGAGATGACCTAGCCCCAGATGTCAAGAGAGCCATGGTAGAGAAATCCTATTTTGGGGGAAGGACCAATGATACCGAAAAAGAAAACATTAATGCTTCAAGAGTACCTAGATTATCTCCTCCTCTGTTTCCTGCTAAAGAAACAAAATGTTTTCTATAGAAAAAAATCATATTCTTATTTCTGCCCTAGCTAGCCTCCCTTGCCTAACTCGAGGGGAGAAGGGCTGCTGTGTTCCTGCAGGGGACACTGTGACCCTTGTCCAGTAGTCTGTGGGCTCCAAGGGTCAGTAGCTGTCTGTCTTTGTCCTTACTACAGCCCCCTCCCCAAAACACACCTATGCAGTGCCTGGCCCGCAGTGAGCGCTCAGCAGGACTGATGCCTGAATAGGACCACCAGTTTCAGCCCCATTATCCATGGAGTGAAGCCAATGAGGGACACTGTATTCCAGGTTCAGGGAGCCCAGCTGGGCCTTGTCAGAGCCCAGTGACCATCAAAGACACAGATGAGAGGAACAGCAGTTTGCAGTCACCGGAAGAGTACTTCTCCCCCACCCACCCCTTCTCACATTAGGTACCTGCGGCAGCCCCAGCTATTCCTTGCAACAGCGATCCATGTAAGAAATTTATCAGGACCTTGGTGACCCACTTCACAGGGAGGTGTGGGGAAAGATGACGGGTGTCAGGCATGGCTGGATCCAGGAGAAGCGGGAATGTCACTGGGACTGTCTTTCTGCTCAACCCTGCTCTCCCTTGGGCCCTGGCCTCATTCCTTCCTAAAACAAACAGCCACCTCCAAGAAGTCCTGGAAGATGGACAGAACAGCCTCCTCCCACTTACATGGTCCCCATAGCTCACCAGCTCCCCCGCCATAGCTCACAACTGCTCATCTCTCTCCTCAGCCTGGACTCTGATGGGCCTTTTGTCATATCCTCACCCCTGTGGGCGAGGGGGGAGGGCTCCATGACTGGCAGGAAGAGCTTCCCAAGGGAAAAGACAATGGCAAACGGAAATGGACCACCCCTCCCCGGCCCTGGTCCGGATTTAGCCAGCCCGGCAGAGAGAGGGGGGTGCAGCCTGAGGCCTTCTGTTCCAAGCAGTGCTGTGGCCCTACACCACGTCCAGCGAGAGGCCTGCTCCAGGACACAGCCCCAACCCTCGCTCTGCTGGTGTTTCACACTCCCTGCAAGGCCCTCTTCCCTCTGGCTACTTGGAAGCTGAATGCCATCCTGAGGCCTGCCCAGGGGGTCTGCCCGGCTCCCGCTGGCTTCTTAGTGCCCACTCCTCCCACCCTGCCCTGTTGCCCTGCCTCCCAGCCTCCTTCAAAGTGAACTTGCTCTGTGGGTGTCATTGCTTCATTCCAAAAGCCCTTCTGGAACAGAGTGAGGGAAGAATAAAACAAGACCCTCAGCGGTGACACTGGTGTGACAGCTGGATGTTCCTTCCATTCTTAGGGTATTAGAACAAAGGGAAGCCTGAATGACCTTGGAGCTGGGGGACTGAGAGCCTGCCAGGGGCTCTTGTGGGCATGTGGGCTGCAGGCACCCTTGACAGGGCCGAGGATGGGCCTGAAGGAGATTTGTCCAGGACGATGCTCAGACCTATGACCTACGAGCCCAAGGCCACCTTGGGGTCTCAGTGAATATTGAATGAATGACTGAACGAATGAATCATGGGGCCCCAGTTTTCAGATCAGCATGAAGCCCTGTTGCCGGGTTCTCACAGGGGATCCAGTTCCCCCCGCCCTCCCTGCCCCACCTGCCAGTCCCTGGCCTTCACCTGCCAGTCACCAGCCATGCAGCCTTCCATAAGTATATCCATTTCCCATGGCTACTGTGACAAATTACCACAACCTGGTGGCTAAAAACAACAGAAATGTATTCTGTCACAGTTCTGAAGGCCCCAAGTCCAAAACTGGCCAGGCCACACTCCCTGCGGAGGCTGAAGGGGAGGAGCCTTCCTGTCTCTTCCAGCTTCTGGAGGCTCCTGGCATCCTTGGCTTGTGGTAGCATCCTTCTCATCTCAGCCTCCTTCTTCATGTGGCTTCCTCCTCTGTGTCTCTTGCCCTTGGACCTCTTATAAGGGCACAGTGAGAGACCGAGTATACAGAGGGACAGTGACCAGACCATACGTAGAAACAGAACTCTGGCCAGGAAGCCAGCCTGCTGTAAGTCAGACCAGCAGGAGGCCAGGAGGCAGGGACACTGTGATAGTCGGCCCCAGATGTCCAGGACTTGATCAATGACTCACAGCGGTCCTGACTTTTGTCCTCGCTTCCAGCTCAAGATGGAGCAGAGAAACCAAAATATGCCCCTAACATGTCCCGTGGGAGCCCCATCCCCAGTAGGGCTCTCCCCCCACCTGCCCGTAGGCTCTGCCCATCGCCAGTGGGGACACTGAGCCCCTGCTCCAGCGGCTCAAAACGAATAGCCTTTGCTTTTCCCACGTGGCTGGCCTCCTTTATTCCCACACTTGCCATTGGATGCAGGGACCACCGGATAATGCAGGAGAGGCTCACCTGAGAGCCTTAACTCACGACACCCATGCAGGCCTTCCCCAGGTGAGGCCGTGGTCACGGGCTCTGAGGGGCAGGATGTGGACACAGCTTTTGGGGGCCACCATGCAGGCCACAGCAGCAAGTGACTCTGCTACTCCTTGCTTCTGCGGTTGTCACTGGGATCTGATGACAGAAGCTGCACCACTTGGCCGCGGGGACACTTTCGTGACCGCGTCCTTGGAAAGCCCTTTGAACAGAGCCTGGCAGGGGATGAAGAGCTCAACGAATCCATCATTATTCAGAGAGTGGAGAGGGGAGCCCCCAACAGTGAAGAGACAAAAACAAATTAGGAGGGCTCAGGGTTTCTTTTCGGTGATGGAAATGTTCTAAAATTAGATTCTGGCAAATTTACTAAGCACTATTGA